TTGCTTTTTTTTTTTTTTATTGAATTAGCAATGTATCGGGAAAATTTCTCCGGGGGCTCAGGACCCCCGGCCGAGGCCTGTGCTTCTGTCCAGGGAATGTGACCCTCACCCTGACCGGCCCTGCAGCCTGGTCCGGCTCTGCTTGCGTGGGTGGTGCCTGGCTGTGGTCCACGGGGGCTGCGGGCTGGGGACAACTCCTCTGGCTGAGGCCGCCGGCTGTCCTGACAGCTGTACTGGTTCACGGTGGAGTTCGGGCTGTGCAAGCAGGACGGGGAGGTGAAGGCATATGGCGCTGGGCTCCTGTCCTCCTACGGGGAGCTCCTGGTGAGACCCTCCCCACCCCGTAGTCCCCAGCAGAGGGGTGGAGGGCATGGCGTAGGGGGGAGCTGGGCTCCCAGAGGGGAGGGACACCTTGGCCTGGGCCTCTTCTGCCCAGTCCCCAACTCAGACTCCTGGGGGGAGGGAGGGGTGCATCCCCACCCGCCCTCTGGTCGGGCCGCAGCGCTCCTGTCCCTTGGGACACCCGTGCCCCTCCAGCACTCCCTGTCAGAGGAGCCCGAGATCCGGGCCTTCGACCCCGAGGCTGCGGCTCTGCAGCCCTACCAAGACCAGACCTACCAGTCCGTCTACTTCGTGTCCGAGAGCTTCAGCGATGCCAAGGACAAGCTCAGGTGTGCTGGGGCTCCAGGCGCAGACCCCCCACCATGCCCCCAAACTGGGCACGAACTGACCCTCTGTCACAACAGCCCCTCCCAACCTCCCTAAGAAGGACCCCAGAAAAGACCTGTGGGGCTGGGGCTGCCAGGTGGCCGGGCCTCCAGGCGAGGCGGAGCCTAAGCTGCTGAGGAGGCCCTGTGGGCCCAGCGTCCTGCCCTCTGCGTGGCCAGGGTCAGGGGTGGAGGGAGGCTGAGGTGGAAAGGAGGGGACAGGGTGGCTGGGGGTGGGGTGTGGCATAGTGACTAGAGGTGTCCAGGAGAGGGGGCAGAGGCCGACAGGCTCACCTCATAAAGGGTCGTTTCCCCTCCAGGCGCCCGTGGTGCACTGGGGATACTGAGGCCAGCAAGGAGGGCAGGGCTGGATCCCACACACAAGCTTAGGGACACTGCAGGCACATGGTCAGAGGAGGCTTCCCAGGCAAGGCGGCCTGGCCTGGGTGCAGGGACAGACGGGGCGCCCGGCAGAGGCTGGCTTGGAACAGGTGCCTGGCCTGTCTCTCCTGCCACCCCCTCCCCTTGCCCGGCCCTGGAGGAGGCCTCGGTCTCCCACCTGCGTCAGAGCCCAGGTGGCCTAGAAAAGCCTGGGAGCTCCGAGCCTGAGCGACGGTGGAGACTTGGCCCTGGGCTGCTCAGCTGCACCGCCTCCTCCCTGCTCCCCCCGCAGGAGCTACGCTGCGCGCATCCAACGCCCCTTCTCCGTGAAGTTCGACCCGTACACGCTGGCTATCGACGTGTTGGACGGTCCCCACGCCATCCGGCGCTCCCTGGAGGGCGTACAGGACGAGTTGCACACCCTGACCCATGCTCTGAGTGCTATTGGCTAGGTGCAAAGTTGCCGCCCCATGGGCTCAGTGCACCTGCCCTGGGGCCTCCCAGTCCCTTCCCCAACCCCCCTGGCTCCTGCCCTGTCCCAGAGCTGAGGCCCACGTGAAGGGCGGGGGCACAGGGCACCCCTCAGCCTGCCGGTGACGGCTCCATCCTGCACCCTCCCTGCCACCCAGGCTCCCGCTGACCCCCACCGCGCTGCTTCCCAGCCCCACCGGCTGGCGCGTGTGTGAGGTGTGTGTCTTGCTGTTGCTGCCCGGGCTCCCGGGTTGTGGGTCAATCGCTGTGCAGCCCATCCAGCTGCCCACGCTCTCTGCTGCCCTGTTTGCCACCCCAATAAAAGAAAGCACGGTCTCCGAGAGCTGCCCCGCCTCTGTGTCTGTGCCTCACAGCAGGCCCCGGGCCCCACACGCCCGCACCCAGCCCCAGCTCCACCTGCTGGGCGGCCCAGGCCAGAGGAGGCCACCCCAGGCCGTTTCCCTGATTGCCTGAGAGGCGGCTGCAGGGGGTCAAGGGGGCCCGGGCTCTGCTGCCCTGTCTCCATGGGGGGCTGGAGGGTGGGAGGAGGGACTCCCTCAGGCCCAGGCAAGGATCAGGGGTCACAGCTGAGCTGACTGGGGGGTGGTCTTCGAGGCAGGGCTGCAGGCCTGGCCCTCTCGACACACCCGGGGGTCCCAGCCTGTGAGACAGCAGGCAGAGGGATGGGAGGCCACAATGCAGCTGCTTCGATCCCCTCACGACACCTCACCCTGAGCAGGACCTGGGAGCCGAGACGTGTGCTGAGGGGGAGCTCAGCCAAGCTCGTTCCCAGTCGAATTCTCAGGGCCTCAGTCTCCCCAGCAAGGCTGGTGGGGGCTGTGAGACGCCCCCACTTCACACTGCCCTCAGGCCAGAGCCCCCAGCACCCTGTGGCCTAGTCAGCCCGGGGCACCCCTCTCCTACGTGGGCAGCTGGATGGCTCTTAGGACGACAACTCGGGCAAACTCCTACTCATCCCTCAAGACCCTCCTGGGCAAAGCCTTCCTTCCCCAGCCCTCCCTGGTTGTCTGTCCTTCCAGCATCTGTGCCTCAAGCACCTTGTCTGTGTCCAGTCCACCCGTGCCCTTCAGCCTGGGAAGCCATGGCTGGGGCCGTTTCTGAAGGGCCGTGGGCCCTACTGAGGCCCTGGGGAAGGGCCGACATCCTGCCTCGTCCTCCTCTGGAGCTGCCCGCCCGGGGCTCTGTCCCCTCACCAGAGTCCTCCACCACCCAGCCCCCCTCCAGCCCTCCTCCCTGGACACCGTCATCCTCCAGGAGACACATACGTCCTTCAAGCTGCAGTGTGGCTGGGGTGAAAGGGGTGGCAGGGAGCTCCCACAGATGGCCGGCCCTGCCCGCTGCAGACCTCTGCACAAGGTGGCAGGGCTCCAGCAGTCCCATGTCTTGTCTGCCTGGGCAGAGGGTCTCAGCTGGTGGGCTGGGGAGGAGGCGTGGGTGCTGAGGCAGAGGAGGCAGGGACAGGAGGCACAGGGACACGGGACACCCTGGCCTCTCCCACCCCCTCAGTCTCAGGCAAGAGACCAGCAGGCGGAGAGTGCTCGGGGTTGACCCAGTGGGTCAACTGGGCCTCCAGGTGCCTGTCCTGGGGACTGGGAGGGCAGAGGGGTTGCACCACGAAAACTCAGCCCAGACTACCCCTGAAGGGGTGATGGGCTCATGGGCCTGGCTTCAAGGAGGAGATGGGTGGGGGTCCCAGGAAGAGGGGTGGGGGCCAAGAAGGTGCCCTGGGTGGGACCCGGGGGCGGGGGGTGGTGGTCTGCTGCCCTTTTATTGAAAATGAGAAACAGGCCAGCCTGTGGGGGACATGGCTGCTGGGCCTTGGGTCTTGCCCTCTTTCTGACAGCAGGGGAGCAGGGGGTCTCCCCTGGGGCTGCTGCCTTGGGGTGCGGTGGGGAGTGGGCCATGAGTGGGAAGGGGACCCTTCCCTCACTCCCCTGACACAGCCTCCAGCGGTCTTGGGCTAATGTCAGCTCTCCCGGAGATGGCTGCCCCCAGCTGTGAGCACGCACAGCTCGTTAAGGCTCTAATGACCGCTTGCCCCAAAGAGGTGATGACCACCAAGGAGATGTTCCCGCAGACCCAGCACTGGGGAAATGATCCAGAAATTGCAGCCTCAGCCCCTTGGCCATCTGCTGGCCCCCCCTGGAGGCCCTAATGGGCTGGTGGCAGGGATTAGGGACCAGGGGAGATGGGCTCAGGGCCTTTAAAGCCAGCAGGGACTTGGCAGCCCCCAGCACTGCAGGACCAGCTGCATTCCGAGGCGGTCAGCAAGCAGGTCTGTGCCGGTGGCCTCTGGGGCAGCCTGGGCCCGGGGCTGCCTGGCTGGGGGGCTCCAGGGCGGTTGGACCCCGAGCCCAAGCTCTGCAAGGGGAGAATATGGGCACCTTTCTTGGAGCATTCGGGGATGAGCATGCGGGTCCCAGGGCAGGGTGCCTGTCCGCTTGGCTGGCCTCATCCTGCCTGTCCCCCAGGTCCGCATCCCTCCATCTCCACCATGGCCCTGTGGGCACGCCTTCTGCCTCTGCTGGCCCTGCTGGCCCTCTGGGGGCCCGAGCCGGCCCCGGCCTTCGTAAACCAGCACCTGTGTGGCTCCCACCTGGTGGAGGCGCTGTACCTGGTGTGTGGGGAGCGCGGCTTCTTCTACACGCCCAAGGCCCGCCGGGAGGTGGAGGAGCCTCAGGGTGAGCCCCGCCACCCCACCCTCACCCCGGCACCCCACCCAGGTGTGGGCAGAGATGGGCAGGAAGCTACCACCCCCCAGGAAGTCAGGAGGACTTTTTAAGAAGGGAAAACGGAGTTCTCAGGGTCACCTCTGAAAGTAGCCGGGTCCCTGTGGTGCAGCCAGAGACCTGGGAGTAAGGACCGTGTCAGGTCCAGGAGGCCGAGCCCCCAGGACATCTCCAAGGGTGGGCATGTCCCTCCCCTCCCACCCCCAGCCCATTTCTCTACCCTCAGAGGATGGCAGCAGCTGCAGGGGACCTTAAAGTAAATCAAGTCTTGACCTGCGGGTCCTGGACCTGGGGGTCCTGGGGTGCCCAATCCTGGCCACCTGCCTCCCTGCGGTCCCCTGCCCCATCTGTTCCAAGGAGGACACACGAACGGGTCACTGGGGGCAGGGGTGGGCGAGGGCCCAGCAGCAGCAGGGAGTCAGAGATGGGGGCAGCCCCAGGATTGGCACCTGTGGCACTGCTCAGGCTCCTGCCTTGGCACTGCCCTCAGGCCAGGGAGGCAGCAGGAGAGGGGGCTTCGGGGCCCTGTGCGTCCCCACGCGCAGCTTGACCCTCATGGACGGCCCTCCCTCCCCTGCCTCCACTTGCTGAGGCCGCCCGGGGCACAGGCGGTGGCACTCCGCCCCCTGACGGTGTGGTCCTGTGTCTCTGTCTGTCTGTGCTGCTGCGGGCCCGGCAGTGGGGCAGGCGGAGGCGCTGGCGCAGAAGCGCGGCATCGTGGAGCAGTGCTGCACCGGCATCTGCTCGCTCTACCAGCTGGAGAACTACTGCAACTAGCGCCACGCGGGCCGCACCCGCCACCGCCACCGCCACCGAATAAAGCCCTCACACCAGCCCTGCCGTGTCGTCTGTGTGTCCTGGGCTCCGGCCGGCGCCCTCTGCGAGCCCCCCCAGCTTTCCCCACCCTCACCGGGCCCCCCAGGTGGCGAGTCCCCATTGGCCGCCAGCTGACCCCCACCCCGGGCCGCCCCCCGCTGCTTGTGGGCTGGATGGAGAAGGGTTGTGGGCGTCTCTGGGAGGCTGGGGGTGGCAGGAGCTGGGAGCCACTCGGCAGTTGCCCTGGGCTCTTGGGGTCCCCGGGTCTTTTCGAGGAGAGGGAACGAGAGCATTCCAATGCTTTCTCCCCACCTAGCCCTCCCAGGCTCCACTTTGGGAGCTATTTCTGATGGAGTCCCCGTGGAGGGACGAGGCCGTGTGGGGGGAGGGGTCCTGCGAGGGCGGGGAACAGAGGAGGGGGTGAGAGGCTGCCGAGGCCACCCCCCACAGTGCCGCCTGCCGCCCCCAGCTTTAGATGGGCCGGGGGCAGCCATAGCCCACAGTCCAGACCCAGCCAGACACGCTGCGGACCCACTCCTGCCCCGGAGGAAGAGAGACAGGCCAGATGGCCGCCCCCCCGCCCCCCGAGTTGAAGGACCACTGTAGGTCCGCTCCCTTCCAAGGGAGGGGACTTGGAACCCTTCTCCTCGGGTGGCCCAGCTAGGAGGCCCTGAGAACTGCCACCCATGTGGGCCAGGGAACAGCCAGCGTCAGCAGGGACCAGGGCCAGGGTCTCCCCACCGCCCCTCAGCCATCTCCCACCTGCTAGGATGGGCCACTCAGCCAGATTCTTTAAATGACAGACCTGGAGGTCATCCCCAGAAGTGCCTGCAGGTTCTGATAACAATGTCACACTGGGTCTAAGTCTTTGGAGGTCCTGACATGAAGCCTCCTCTCCAGCAACTGCTGAGCACGGGTGGCTCTGCTGGGCACTCGGCCTAGGTGGCCGCCTGAAGGGCAGATGACAGCCTGGGGGCTGCCTGGGCTGGCTGTGTCCTGGGAGGTCAGCAGGTGACCCTAGATACCTCAAGGCCTGGCCAGCCTGCCTGCCACCCAGGCCAAACCAATGTGCGCCTTTCCTGAAAGCTCCGCCCAGCCAGGGCTCAGGATGCTGGCCTGGGGCTGGCACCTGGGTCTGGTGGCTGCAGACCACTTACAGGCTGGCCTCAGAGCCGAGCAGACCCTCCAGCTGCGGGCCCAGCCATCGGGGCGGCCTCCTCCCTTCAGGCCTGAGCGTCCCTCCCAGGCCACCCCCTACCCGTGACCGTATCGGCACCCCCCAGAAGAGATGTCACCCGCAAGTCCCCAGCAAGCCCCGCCCCTGGAGTGGGGGCCAGGGCCGGGCAGGAGGGTGGACGGCCGGACACTGGACCCGGAAGAGGAGGGAGGAGACGTGGGGCAGAGCAGCAGTCGTCCATGGGGACGCCCCACCGGCCCCACTCACACGGGGACAGCAGGGCGCCCTGCTGGAGCTGAGGTACGTGAGCCTGCCCGCCAGCTTGGCCGGCCGGGCCCAGGCTGCCCCCAAGGCAGCTCCTGGCACACCTGTGGCCCCGGTTGGCCCTGATGGCCAACAAGGCCCCGAGGGTGATGGGCAGATGCCTCCTGGAGGTGCCGGCATGCTCCATGGAGGGTGGGAGCTGGAGGTGGAGGGGAGTGGGGGCCCTTTATGGCCCAGGGGCTCATGGGGTCATCCCAATCTCGGGGGCCTAGAAGTGCGACCAGTGCTGGGGGTACTGGGAGTCTCAGGGGTGTCGTTCAAGGGGCCCCATCTTCTTCTTCTTTTTTTTTTTTTTTGTCTTTTTCCGTGTCCGGCAACGGATCGCAACCCTCAGTGTTGCCCCCATACCGGACCGGGGACCGGCAACGGGATCGCAACCCTCGGCGCTGCTCCTGCGCCTCGCTCAGCCAGTGAGCGGGAACCGGTCCACATGTGGGATCCGAACCCTCGGGCGGGAGCGCCGCCGCGCTTCCCAAGCGGAGCACTATCCAGTGCGCCACCGGGCCGGCCCGAGGGACCCCATCTTCTGAGGTGTCCCCCCTGGGGCCCACTGGAGAGGGGAAGGCTACCCACCAAGGGACTCAACTGTGGTCAGCCGCACCCTCGGCCCACCCTCTCCCTTGCTGAGGCCCACCCCAGCCCTGAGACCAGCACCCTCCTCCCGGGCCTCTTCCACCAGCCCCTCAGCACCCCATCACTGTGTCCTTGAAAGGGTGGGGTGCGTGACAAGCATCTGCCCAAGGTGACCCGGGGCTCAGGCAGCAGAGGCAGATTGGACAGTCTCCTGACAGCCACCACCCTGCTCTGACACCCAGATGCCCCTGCTGGGGATTATGGGTGCTCCAGGAGCCCCAGGTCACACCATGTAAGCCAGGCCCACGGACCTTGCACTGCGGTCAGCGCCCGGGCTGTGCCGTGCTCCGCCCCTTCTGGGAATCTGAAAAGCAGCCCTCCAATGTCCCAAGACCCTACTGTCCTTGGGACCTGGGCTCCACCTACCCATGGGGCTGGCAGTGGTGGTCGGCTGCATCCAGCCCTGCCAGTCACCCTGGTGTTGGGGGCTGGGGGTCCATCTGAGTGTTCCACAGCTGCCAGGTGGTGGCAGCAGAGGTGCCGCTGTTCCCCAAGGTCCCCAAACCCACCCTCACAGCCTCTGCCTGATGTCTGGAGGGCCAGGGCCTCCTAGGGGCGTCGTTGAGGGCAGCCCACACTGCCCTGCCCACTGGGCCCTCTCTGTTTAGGAGTCCCACCTGTGCACGTGCCGTGTGGGGAGGGACACTGTGCCTGTGGTGCAGGTGCATGGCACATGCCTCACCCACCCAGGCCTTTCTGCCCGAGCAGCTGCCTCCAGGACAGCTCCCTGGACTGCGTCCGCTCCTGGCACAGACGTCCTGGCACCCCACCTGGTCCTTGGGGCAGTATTTGCTTTTCCTGTCAGCAGCAAATATTTACTGTCCTCACTGTTCTCTGGGCCTGGGAAGACCCTGAGGGGCATGAGAGGTGGGCACAGGGATGCCAAGGTGGATCCCCTGCTCTCAAGGGCTCCGCGGGGTCAGGTCCAGGGAGAGGGGGTGAGCCCAGGACCAAGCGGTTCTTGAGGCTGAGTGGCCCTGGGCAGAGTTTGGACCGGCTGATGGCCGCTGTCTGTCTCCAGCCAGGCTGCAAGAAGGGCACAGCCCTGCGGAGCCTGGACCCTGACCCAGACGGGGCTGGCCCCCAGTGCAGGTGGCTTTTTTGGGAGTGGGCACCTGACAACGCCGGCCATGTGGCCGGGGCGGCCGTTCACATGCGCGACCAGCAGAGGGCACCAAAGCCTCACTTTTGAGGCGCTGGCGATCTGCGGCCCGCTGCGGAGCGCCCGGGGGACTGGCCGCCCTGGACGCTGGAGTGGGAGCTTTCAGAAGGAGGGAAGGTGTCTGGTGATGCTGGGGGTGCTGGTCCAGCCTCAGCCCCTGGGTCCAACCCCCTGCCAGCTTCACCAGCCCAGGCTTCCCAGGGGCTGGGACCCAAGGCAGCAGCCGGACAGATGTCCCAGGTCTCTGACATGCTGAGAAAGTCTCCAGTTAGAGTCTGACCCCCACTCCTGTCCCCTAGAATCACAGGGGCTAATGGCGAGCTGTGTAACAGTCAATCTGCTGGCCCCTTACTCTGCTCGAAGCCACCTCAGCCACTGGAGCCAGAAGGCTGAGCTTCTGTCCCCATGTGAGGTGGGGGCATTGGGGATGGAGGACCCTGGAGCCCAAGCTGGGTCGGGGCTGGTTTTTTCCCATGTCCACCCTTTGCCCAGTGCCAAGAGCACAGGGTGGCCAATTTCAGAAAGAATGTCTAGGGTAGGGGTGGACAGGGGTCTGGGAACACAGGGGACAGGCGGGACACTGCGGCGTCCATCCCCGCCCCCTCCCACTATTGTTTCTGGCCACGGCCAGGGAAACAGCAGGCAGATTACTTCGAAAGTGGAGCCACCAGAGGTGGCCTCCCATCGTCCCTGCACGGCCAGTCACGCTGTGCTGGCGCCAGCACCCCCACGCCGGCCCTCCCACCCACCATTGTGTCCTCAGCTCACTCCTTGCTCCTGTGGCCACGTGCCCCCAGCCCACCTCGGCTCAGACTCCCACTTCCTGCCTGTCCTCGACCC